CATGCATCAATCTGAGAAGACGCATTGAATATAAGAAGACACATTAATATAAGAAGAGACATTGAATATAAGAAGACACATTGAATATAAGAAGACACATTGAATATAAGAAGACACATTGAATATAAGAAGACACATTAATCTAAGATACATTTCTTGAAAGTAATTGCTCTTTTTTCTGCAGGTTTGCTGAACCCTTTAGACAGCCCTCACCACATGAGGATAGACGATGAGTCAGCGTATCGGGAAGGAATCGTCCTCGACCGGCCGAACAAACCAGGAAAAGGCTCTTTGGTCAACTGTGGGATGAGAAAGGTGAGCATGGTTAAATAGATAATAAGTAATAGAGAGATAATACAAAGTTACTGACATCATGTCATGTGGACAAAATGCACAATGAACTAATTAAAGATACATTTGACTGATATCGTCCAAATATTCAAATGTTGAATGACTTTCAGGGATGCAAACTTGTCACCTTTCGGCGAAATTCGCCGTTTTGATTCCAAAATAGGTAGTTTGTGTGATTCATGTAGATCTGCAATAAAAATATTTTTGGGGTATGGGGGGGGTCTGGGACCCGGAGTAATCTGCGGCCGCGAGCTGTTATGTGCCATCATGACACGCATGGTGTTCTTTTTTTATATATTATAATGAAGCGCGAGCACAAGTCTTCCTGCCTGTCAGCTCTGCTCATGGATGTATAATAAGGCTCTGCTGCTCCGGGATGAGGGTCTAGCTTCAGCAGCTACATTACCTACGGTGCGTTCGTTAATATTAACTGTGCGGTCCAGAGTCACTGTGGCACAGACTGGACCGCTGGTTAGAACGGGGTGTTCGGAGCAGCAGAGCGTGATGTGCACTGAAAAGTGTTTCTGTCGCAATATTATTTAATGAATCGTTGAGCTAGCTAACTAGCATACATTGTCACTATCTGCTAACGTTAGCTTTAGCCTTCGTTTTCAAATAGTTTCTTTCATAGCCTATAAACGGAGGTGGTATAAGTATCTTGTACTTGAGTAAAAGTAGAAGCACTCAGATCTTGTACTTGAGTAAAAGTTGAAGTACTCAGGTCTTGTACTTGAGTACAAGTAGAAGTACTCAGATCTTGTTCTTGAGTAAAAGTTGAAGTACTCAGGTCTTGTACTTGAGTACAAGTAGAAGTACTCAGATCTTGTTCTTGAGTAAAAGTAGAAGTACTCAGAGCTTGTACTTGAGTAAAAGTAGAAGTACCAGAGTGTAGGAATACTCTGTTACAGTAAAAGTCCTGCATTCAAAATGTTCCTCAAGTGAAAGTAGAAAAGTATTATCATCAAAATATAGTTAAAGTAGCAACAGCAAAAGTAGTCATTGTGCAGATTGGTCCATTTCAGAATAATATATATGATATGTTTTATAATGATTGATCATTAAAGTGTTATCAAAGCTGGTAAAGGTGCAGCTAGTTTGAATGACTTTGTATACTGCAGGGTAGCTTGTGAATTTACTCCAGGTGGAACTAAAGTCTGATTTAAGACTTGATCATATTTCACATCATTCATCCACATCTGTGAAGTAACTAAAGGTATTAAATACACTAGTGGAGGAAAAGTACACCATTTACCTCTGAACTGTAGTGGAGAAGAAGAACAAAGTAGCAAAACATTGAAATACTTAAATAAAGTACAAGTATCTCAAAATTGTACCCAAGTATAGTACTTGTTGAGTTTATGAACTTAGTTACTTTACACCACTGGCTATAAAGATAGAAAGACAGCCTTGCACAGGCATGAAAATACATTTTCAAAATGCTCAACAGTCCTGCCAAAATTATAAACTGACTGCTACACAATTAAAATAAATGCTTTTATACATTTCTATTAGATGTGACTCTTTGGCGTTTCTGTTATTATTAACTGCTGCTTTAGTTGTTCTGACTGCTAAAATCCTCTGTTATTCCTCATTTTAAAGCCGATATTCCGTGGGGTCGGGGGGCTCGGATCCTTGTCACCTTTTTCATACCTGATGAGTTTGCATCCCTGGACTTTGCTCATGATAACCGTGTAGTGAAAGTCTGTACATGCTTTGGCTGATCTTGTTATGACTGTGATTGGTTTATGACTGTTTGAAGTTGTCTGTAACTGTCCTGCTGCCAGGACTCTCTGGGAAAAGAGGTTTTTAATCTCAATGAGACCTATCCTGGTAAAATAAATAAATATAGAAAGTAGGCTATAAATAACGATTTTGTTCTGATTTACAAAAAAAAGGTATTCTTTAGATTCATTTCATATTCTAACATTTGAAAATATAATAATATAACTTGAAGTTTCTCAGAGCTCAAAGTGATGTCTCGATATCCCTTTTTTTTTTACAACCGCAGAAAAACCCAAATATATTGGGTTTTATAGTTTACTATTATAAAGACAAAGAAAAACATAAAATATTGACATTTAAGAGAAAATAGGGAATTGGTGTGTTTCTGTGCTTCAAGAGATGGCCCAAACTATAAAATAATAATCTAAATAATTACCTATTATTATCATTCTGATTCTGCCATAGACTGATTGCCTTCCTTCTGCTCCTACAGGAGGTTCGTATTGACAAACAGCTGCAGTCTGGACTCCGAGTCACAGTGAAGCTCAATAAGAAACAGAGCAATGGTAACAAGACATTTTATTATTTTATATATGTTCTCTCTTAAAGTCCCCATGCGCTCTGGATTCTGCCACCATCAGCTCAGTGTGTCTTCCTGTGTCTCCTCCTCAGAGAGTAAGATGTATAAAGGAGCGGTGGTCGCTCCTCACCTCCCCCGCACTGAAGGAGGTCTGTACTGGGGGTACAGCGTCCGCCTGGCATCCTGTCTCAGTACGTTTCTTATTCCTGTGATCAACTGCTATTATGCCCTAAATCAATTTCTAACATCTTAAACCATTTTAATCTGAATAGCTAGGCCAGTCATGTTTTTTAACGTTATCAGCTTAGAGTGCGATAACCACCATCATTTGTACATTATCGACTATTCTTCCACAGCTCGGGTTAAGGAACATTTTATATTTGAGCCGGATGGTAGAGGCGTGTTGTAGCTAATATGTTGTTATTTGCACTTTCTGTAAACAAATGTCCTTTTTTGACAAACGGCTTGCATCATTATGCCTGTTTCGGATGGAAAGACTATGCAAATGGTTAATACTTGTTTTATCATTTTTAAAGATTCCAAGATTTTTTAGTTTTGGTTGTTTTAATTTATCAAGACAGGCCGGACCTAGCTTTTTCATCCACACAACCTACTAATTTGTGTACTAATCCAGTATGAGTATCTAGCATGCTGTGACTGCTTGATCCATTGCTGTTGGTTTGGTAATGCAGGTGCAGTATTTACTGAAAGTCCGTATGAGGATGGATACGACCTGACTATTGGAACATCAGAGAGAGGCAACAACATGGACCAATCAACACTCTCACCATTCAAGTAGGTTCAGAAACAATAGGATAACTTTCGCCAAATTCACTCTCAACGAAGCAGCAAACGTGCGGCATTCAACAGTAATTATTAAAAGTTCAACTTTTAAGGCACATTTTTGGCCAGAGATTTCCTACAGCTAATTTGTTAATGGACTCTTATTTACTCTATGTTGACCTGTGCTACAAATAATTGTTTTAGCTTGATGCACATAAATAGTCTTCTGGCTGCACACAGTAGTTTAATATCTCCTTTTGAAATGTAGTGGGGTAGAAGTTTAAAGCAGGATAAACCCACTTTCCACCACCACATTCTAAGTCTTCTTATAACAATAATGGTGTTTTGTTAGTTTAAATTGAGTTTTTCCCACTTTGTAGGCATCTTTTAGTCGTTTTTGGAGGTCTTCAGGGTCTGGAGGCCAGTGTAGATACGGACCAAAACCTGGAAGTGACGGACCCGAGTGTTTTGTTTGACCTTTACCTCAACACATGCCCCGACCAGGGCAGCAGGACCATTCGCACAGAGGTCAGGGCTCCTTAAATGACATATTTGATTAACCTTTGTGAGACAAAATAGATTTACACTCTTTGTACAAGCAAATACCTTATTCATTTGGATGCACACCACGTGTTAATTTAAATTGCTTATCTTCTTTTCAACAGGAGGCAATTTTAGTTACCATGGCGGGGCTGAGACAGAAGATCACAGCTGCATTTTCAGATGTTTCCGGCGGTTCATTAAAGATTTAATGAAGAAAGGAAGTGAGCGAAGGCTGGCAGACGTTTTATAATGACCATCAAGTTGTACTTTTTCCATTATCAGTGCTGTAGTGTTGCTTACTGTAAAACAGATGTTATTTCAAACATTCAAAATCATTGTTCTTCATTCTGTATGTCTTTGTTTGTAAATGGCTCAACATATTGTACATATTGAAATACAAAAACTATCCACAAGCTTCAACTGACTTGTATTGTATTTTTCAAAGCATAATATGACTCTCGCAACAGTACTTTCAATGAAAAACAGTGTTGAGATGGCACAACATGTACAGATAAATGTACGGAGGCAGACAGGTGCAAACGCGCTACAACGGCCCAAAAACACTCAGCAACTTCATAATCCCTGAGCGCTCCGTCCCAGCTGTGTGCGTCACTTTTTAGTGTCCCCAGGTTTCCTTTGAGTTTTGAGCTTCTTGCAGCGTTTTTCTATTGCAGTTTTGTATATGCAGCGCTTTTAGTAAACGCTGCGCATGTGATGTCAAGTTGGTGAGATGTTTCTTCGTTTGGATGTGTTTTGGCAAATTAGTGTTTTTATATTTGCATCGTTTCTAAAGCTGCAGCGTGTTTTTCCAAGTAGAAATGTTTTGTGCCGTTGTTTTGCATTTTCACCTGTTGAACTAAATGGCACAGAATATTTTCATCAATGAGTCTGCTTCAGGTTTGTAAGCAGTTAATCCAACAGATTGTGTAACAGATGTGATTACTTTCCAGTTGCCATGCATGCTACGTGCATTAATCTACCCATATGTATTGGCATTTTATTCTCATAAATACAAAAAAAGCCAGGCAAATATTTCATTTTAATACCAGGTTTGCACAGGAATTGCAGTATGCGTTTGTTGTTCTGAGTATTTGTGGATTAGCTTGATATACACTCAGTTCCCACATAATTAGGTACATGTGGCAATACATAGTTTGATACAACTCCTGCAATAAATAATACCTTCATAAATGTTCAGTTTTTAACTTTTAGAATAGTAGTAATACAATATTTTGAGGCCTGTATTGTTGTGCTGCTGAATTGCATCGGTTTAATTAACGTTTATTATACTTAGTTTTTCCTTATTTATATAACTTGGGTGTCTTAGCTATTGAATGTTTTTGCATTATATGCAATATAGACATTTTGTAGTAATAGTAATATCTTGATATATTTCGCAGGCAATTTAATATCGGTAAAGTAGCAGCAGTTGATGTGGATTATGTATTTTTTCCAACAAATAACCTTCCAAAAAAACCCAACTATACTGGCTTCTGATCAAGCACATTGCTCCCTTAAAGATGAAGGAACACTTTGTTTGCAAAAGGCATCACAGTTTTAGATATTGCACCCTTCTCTGCATCCTGTTTAGTTTAGTCATGTTTAGTTGAATCGTGCATTCCTAAGAGCAACATACTGATATATATAACACGATCATGATGCATTTTGTGAATTTAAGATGCATGCGCTGAAATGCCACTGAGGTAAAAAGGTCATGAGGCATCAACTTTAACTCTGAATCAAATCAACAGCAAAAATGTTACAATGAAGTACTACATTAGACAAATCCAGGATATGACAACTTCTTTAAGATTGGAAAAAACTCATCTTAGTATAAGACCTAAGTATTCTGTGAAAGTGGCAATCAGTATCTGGAGAATAGATTTGTGTGCCACATAATTTCAAGAGCCTTAATGTGTCCTATCAATATAATCAAAACATATTTGTGTCTGTTCTAAGTTTAAAGGGGCCCTATTTTGCTTCATTTTCAGGTTCATATTTGTATTTATTGCCTGTGTGTCAAACGTATGAAGAAATGATTCTAGCTAAAATAATCAAAAAGTATAATGGTCCTGTACGTCATATTGCTCCCATACTAAATGTGAATATACTGAAATGTACATGCCGATGAAATGGTTTAGTTGAATCTGACTGCAGTTACTGTAGTTTCACATTTGTATAATAGACGGTTGATGTAGAGTTTTGTAGTCTATATAGTTGTGTTTCATGAGAATGCTTGCTTATATAATCCCCCCTGAGCATGGGAAACACAAGTGCATTTTCAATAACAAAAATATTAGAAACATGTAAAAATTCCTCTTTAAATTCAATTTCTTCTCTATTTACAAAAACACCTGTCGGACGGCCACCACGTCAATGTGGGATTTACACAATATATTATTTCCTCTCCATTATTTCCTCTCATTTGGTCCAAACGCTTTTGACCAAAAGATTCTTCGTCCTCTTGGCGTTTTCATGATTATGTGGCTTCATGAGGGCTCATTCTCTCAAGCAGGCCACTGTGATTATGTGGCTTCATGAGGGCTCATTCTCTCAAGCAGGCCACTGTGATTATGTGGCTTCATCAGGGCTTATTCTCTCAAGCAGGCCACTGTGAGTGTGTATATTTCTCTCTCTCTTTCCCACTAAAGTCTAAACCCATTTGGGGTGAGAGAAGGTGATGTTGTACTGCTTCGCCCAGCGGCCAAACACTTGTTTCTCCGTGATGAAGCGATGGTGGTTCCCTCTGCGCCCCCCCTCATGCTGCAGGTACGTGACACACTCATCCGGCCCCCTGGGCTTGTAGTAGTGGTAGGGCATCTTTTTGGCTGGAGGTTTAAATTTTCTAGAAAAATGTAAGGTTTTATTAATGAGTTGAACAACCAGATTATTAGTGATTTTCTAATTGTGAAGCAAGTTGCTTTAAAAAGTTTGATGTTGTTATAGAGGACAAGAATGTGCATGTTTTTAACAACAATGTACTTACCCACAGTGATTGGGTGGGACCATCCCATACACTTTGATACTATCACAAAGCTCGATGGCAATGACCATAGTGAACCAGCCTGTGCTCAGCCAGGAGTGAGATTTTTGTCTGAGCAGAAGAAAACAGCAAAACAATCTGTTAGTGAAATCTAGGGGGGCTGGAAAAGATATATACCACCATTTTTTGACCAAATACCTCTATCAATATCGCAATGATATTGTAGGGTTGTTCATTGATGCGTTCACAACAAATGACACAATGACAATTTTTATAATAATCAATAATCATCAATAATAGCAAATTAATTACTTAAAAACCTCAAAAAAGTTGCAAAAATAATATTTAGAATTGCAATATAATGAGAAACCTCCTCAAAACATGACATAATAGTGCAAAAATAATGACTTGGTATCTCAAAACAAGGAGACACTTTCACCAAATATCGTAAAAAATAATCTTCGTATTAAGCCATTAAAAGACATCCATCCAAATAGCAAAATAATGATTTAATTTCACCAAATATTGACTAGAAATTGCAAAACAACAACTTAGTTTCTCAAATAATGGGAAACATCTTTCAAATAATGACTGAATTTAGCAAAAATAATGACTTCGTATTAAGCCAGAATAGAAAACACTTACGATAATACAATTTGCAACATCTCTGACAAAATGCAGTCTCATATCATGTTCTGGATAATGTATCTGACTCTACAATAACCCACATGAAACCTGATCCCTCTGCTCAGTGAACCCTCACCTGTCCCGCCCGGTCTCCCGGTGAAACAGGCTGTCGAAGCGGCGCATCTTGCTGGCGGTGATGCTGAAGCAGGACATGTTGCTGTAGGTGGTGCTGACCCTCTGGATCAGCCGGTACAGGGTCCCTTTGGCGTCCTTCCCCATCTTGTTGGGGGGTCCCCAGAAGATGATCACGGGGCTGCTGTCGGGCCTGTGCAGGAACTCGCTGGGCCTGCGGACCACCCTGAACACGCTGGAGTGGGCCACCACCCTCAGAGAGGTCTGGTTCCCCACGTCCGCCTCGAAGCCCAGCGTGGGGGCGTCGTTCATCCGGATCACACACTGCGCCCGGTCGATCTCCGCTCCGGCTCGACTCCCCAGGACGTGGCTGGAGCTCGTCACCAGAGCACAGCTGCCACAGCGCAGGCTCATCGTCTGACGGGAAGAGACACAAGAGTGGATCAACTTATAGTTTAGCAAAATATCGACTTAATGACACAAAAAATGATGAAGAACCTCAAAAATAATGAGAAACTTTCTCAGAAATAACTAAGTATTGCACAATATTTTGAATTTGTGGCATTAATTAATGCATTTTTATTGCAAAAATAATGACTTAGTGTTGAAAAATAATTACTTAAAGGTGGGGTAGGTAAGTTTGAGAAACCGGCTCGAGATACACTTTTTGTTATATTCCATGGAATGCTCTTAACATCCCGATAGCAATGAATATCTTAAGAAAAATCTGTTGGAATCTGTGGAAGCAGTAGTACTGTAAAAAGCACGACCAATCATTTTAGCCGGCCCGGCTAAAATAACTGGATGGCCGACCTGCCTGTCAGCCTTCCATCTGTGCACAAACTTATCCCATGCCCTCATTGGTCATGTGCGCGTTCGTGTGTGTTGGAGGAGGGGCTCTGTAAGGAAGTGGCAGATTTGTTCCGGTTGTGTATTTTCAAATTCTAGCGCACTCGAGCTGGTTTCTCCAAAATTACCTACCCCACCTTTAATATTGCAAAAAAAAACTTGTATCATCTTAATAATGACATAGTATCTCAAATAACTAAATATTGCAAAGTATAAAAAAAAAGAAATGTCTTAGAATCTCAAAAACAGAAACCTACTCAAAATATGACTTAGTTTCTCAAATAATAGAAAAACTTCCTCAAATAATGACTTAGTATTTCAAATAATAGAACACTTAATAACTAAGTATCTCAGATGTTTTCGTTTTGTTTTGCAAAATGACTTAATATTGCAAAATAATAACTAAGTATCTCAAAATAATGAGTAACTGTTCCCAAAAAGAACTTTAAATAACTCTTTGTGTTGAAATACTAAGTCATTGTTTGGAGAACAATTGTTTTTGCAGTGCTCAGCTGGCTTCTTATAGCTTCATATTTGTATTTTAAATTGGTTGACATAAGTTGTTGTGTGTTATGAGATATGATAAATGAAAGCAGAATGCAGCTGGTTTGGAGAGGAACAGTTCACCTTCTATTTCACAGTGTTTACTTTGAGTGACTCCTCTCTTACAGTTCTTGATTTTGAATAATCCCCTGTAATGTTTTACATAATCTGCAGCTGCCCACTGTTTAGGAAGTCTGTGCGTCTTTCCTTTGTTGAATAATGCACCACATCCTTTTTGTATCTTTACTGACTTCCTGAGTTTTGAAGTTAATGCTCCGTGCAGCAGCAACATTTCCCTTCTTTTGCATTCTTCACTGATACTTATTGTGGATTTCCACGTCATAAAACACATTTCTTTGTCCGTGCATGAGCTGTTGAGTACCTTGTTCCCATGGAATGGCACATATCCGTCTTTCCCAGACCACTTCTTCAGATCTGTGGCCTTGATGGCCTTATTTATAGCCAGATGTAGCGGAGAGTAGATGTTATCGTTGACATTGTTGGAGCCATAGAGGATGAGGAGTGTCATCAGGACGAAGATGGCTGCGAAGATCACCAGCCTGTGGCTCTGCTGCCCCTGAGGAGTAAACAACAGAGTTAACTTAGTGTCATCTAAAACTTCATTTGACCGAAAAAAAATTATCAACACTATGCTTCTGCTCCACTGGTTCCAGAGGGAATTATTTGATTGTTTTGTCAACAATTCTTTTTAAAAGCTGTAATTAATTTAGGAGTTTACATTTTACAAAGAGAACAATTTGGAGCTTATTAAATATAATGTATTTTGTAAGATAAACTAATCAACACTATAGGCCTACTGTAAAAAAAAGTCTCACTATGGTTTCAACTTGGTCTGAGGGCCACACCCTGCTCTTACCTTTGCACTGAGCTTGAGCCCCATGCTGTCAGATCAGGCTGTGTTCCAACACACTGCCAGTGACTGTCTGTCATCATATCTGAAATATGGACAAACATGAAATGCTGCTACATTCAAATCCAATCATGCAAACATGAGTCCACCGTTGCCCTAACACTACATTATTCAGTATTATGGCGATGCTCCAACAAAAACATGCAGTTATTCACTTAATGTATGCTAATTGCAGTACAAATCCTATACAAATCTATATGTTACATGCTTTTACCTTAAACCCCATTAATACAAGGCAATTATTATATTGTAGAAGAAAAGGAAACATCATACGCAGCCATATTTCCCAGCGGCTGTTGACGAACATGCACTGAGATGATTTTAGTTTTAAACAACACCCCGCTGATAGGATTAAATATGATCCGCAGCGACATGTCCCATGTCCGATGGACAGCTGTCTTTAATCCGCACTTTACCGTCTCATGCTCCCGGTGTGTCTCCGTGTGTGATGTCTCTCTGCTCTGCCTCGCGCCCCCATCTTCCTGCGCCACTAGCTGACGTCATCATCACGTATCTCACTGCAGCAGTGTGTGGATTTTTAGTTAAAGAAAATATAATCACATTATATGTATTGTTATAAACATGCAAAAATGTTCACACTAAGGGTACACAGAATAAGTAACAATATTAAAAGAAAAGACAAATACATAATAACTAAAGGTGATACAGATTCAAGGAATACAAAAGAGTTGTTTCATGTTTCACACAGAGGGTACACAGAATAGGTCAACATATAAAACAAATCATAAGATAATACAACTCTAAGAAAAGTTGATACAGATTACAAATATTTTTTAAATATTGCCTTCTTATTCATATTTATTTTTGTATTCATGGTGCCATTATGATGTATAGTCCAACATTTGGTATAAAGTCCGTCTATTCTTATGGATGTGGAATGTTCCTATAAATAAAATTAACTGTTTATAAAACATTCATTTTTCTTTTCCATCACCTTGAAAGTATATACAAATATATTTAGCGTGTAAGTGTCTGTATATAGGCTCAAAACATTAGCATTCATTTTCAAACATCTACTAAACCCTTGGTTTGCATCAAAATTAGAAAATGAATGCAATTTTAAGGCACATTTGACATAAACCTGTACGAAAAATGAAATGGAATATGAAAATAATCCATTAAAAATACTGTAAATTAGTATAATAATTGACTAACTGACTACATTATTAATGATGGAATATGGTCCAATAATAAGAGTTATATTTTCAGTATATAACGTACTTTATGAAAGTGTAGACCCTACATAGTCTCCTCAGTGAAAACAGCTTGTCCTTAAACTGAACTCATGATACAATTCAAAATGTCTGAAATAAAGACTTCTTGTCTTTAACCTCATACAAAGACAAGCTCTCACACACACAGACTGTCAGCAGATTTATTCACATTTACACCAATATCTGCAGTAACCAGTGGTTTAGTTTACATTCAGGTTTGTACTTTGTACACCTCACAACACAAGTCTACTTAACACAAATCATCAATAAAACGTTTTAATTCAAACAACTCCTGTCTGAAATGTACCTTACAGAAGAACACAGTAGTTTGCACAGTAGTATAAGTACTATTATGGTCTTTGGAATTGGTCACAAATAAGCGTTATGTGACTGAAAAGGCAGCGCTATGTTTTTCACTGTAAACAACCAGCAGAATATATAAAGGGTGAAGGTGGATGTAACTCATGTTGTGTTTATGGTAGTGGACCAATTACATTCAAAGTTTCAAAAGACACTAAACTGGGTCTCCATACCCCTGAAACACAGATAATACACACCAAGCACAACGATCCGTTTGTGTGTACTATCCATTTAATACTGTTTGTTGGCCATTTATTGTAAACTATCTGTGAAGAGTAACCTCTGCAGAAACATGTACTGCTCGTCAGTTACATAGAGCCGCTGTGTCCTGTCACTGGTGTTAATTGCAAAATCTCTCTTTGGGTTAAAACGGCACTGTGGAAATATATAGACACTGCTCACAAAATGCAAGTTAAATTAAAAGCTTACGACTTAAAGCATTAAAACACTGAAACTATGTGCACTTAAGGCAAGTTGCAAGTACAATTTGAACAGTTTTGAAGCGCATTTAAGGTACCAAAACCAACTGTGTTTCATACTTTAATAGCTGTTGTCACATTAACATTGTTTTAAATGAAAGTTTACAGAATTATTTTTAAATTCTGAATTTTCTGTGTAATATTACGTGTGACTTTCACAACTAATTGTGCAGTTGAAACACCACATTAAGTTTTAAATTCAAATTCAAGCATATACCTAGCATTGAAAATTAGCAACTTCTTTGGGAATGAATCATCTTTGAGATCATTATTTAGGCAAACATTTAAAAAACCTCTCCAGTTCCAGTTAACAATTGTCTTTGTTTTCTGCTTTTCTTGGTCTTTTATGACTGTAAATTGACCAAAGTCATTTCAAATGTAAACTTGAGTTCTGGTACAATGTGCTTCTGTTGACCTTTTTTAAAAACAATTTTTAGACAATTTTGACCAAAACATGAAACGATTAATTGAGATAATAAGTGCCAGATTAATCAAAAGCTGTAGCCCTAAACAATACACTTCCTGTTTCCTAGAGTAGAGGTGCAAGTTGAAGCTGCAGCATACAAAAACGTTTTGCAATATTAAATAAAAAGTCAAGGCACAGGTATGACGAAATGAAAACTGTAAGCTTTGGTATAGACTGGTTTTAGTATCTAGTTTAGTGGCTTAGTTTTTGTTATCAGTTTCTATACTGATATATGGCTATACATAACGGTAAGTAATACTGAGAGTGGGTTACCAGTTCAATGCCGGGACATCTTGAGCATTATTTCATATTTATGGCTAATAATAGTATCCACTATCAAATGGAACTTTTAGTGGTAAAAATGCAACATTTTAGAAAACAATCTTCAGCAAGGAAGATTAAAAGCCAGCAAAAGTCATCTTTAAGATCTTTTTTAGAGGCTCCATGAGGGGTGTTTAAACTCCATTTTGTGCCGTGTTGCCCATTTGGCGTAGATGGCCTTCTCGGTGATGAAGCGATGACCCCCCCGCTGCGTGTTCTCGTGGACCTTGTACATCCGACACTCATCCACTCGGTTCCTCTCGTAGTAATGGTAAGGAACAGTGCTGTGATTGGCTCGACTGTCGGGAGGAGTACACAGGTCATTTAGGATATGTAGAATAAGATGAAGCTCCAGTATTGATCATACAAGAATGCAAAATGTCTCACCTGCAGTAGTTATTATCAATCATTCCATAAACACGGACGCTGTCACACATATCTAAAGCCAGAATCATGGTGAAGAATCCGGTGCTGAGAAACGCCCCGGTCTTCATTCTTAAAAGACCCGTAAATGAACATAATAAAAACCTAAAACAAAGGCTAATCATTTACTTATGTCAGGTAAATTCATTGCAGGTGTGAGAATATTAATGATCGGTTCAAAATAATGTTAAAAACAATTATCTCCAATCAAATAACATACATTTTTTGGACTGAGACATCAAACTCATTCTGTACCTGTTCTTTCCTGTTTCATTCTGAAACACACTGTCACAGTACTGGATCTTTTCCCTGGTCACAGCGTACAGTTTGACTTTTGGATACTTCTCGGCCATCTTCAGCAGAGAATTAAAGACCCTTCCTTTCCCGTCCTGCCTCATGTTCCTCTCAGGACCCCAGAACACGTACGTGGTGTCGGCCGACTGCTGGAAATATTGGCGCTCGTTTTTTACCAGCAGGGGAACACTGGTGTGAGAGACGACCCGGACGCTGGTGCGACCCCCCACGTCTCTCTCGTAGCCCCCCGTGGGGGCATTGTTCATTCGGATCACACATGGCACTTTGTCGATCTCTTCTCCAGCGCCGGCTCCGATCATCTGACCCGAGCTGGAGACCAAGGCACACTGGCTGCAGTGCATGTAGAGGAACTGTTGAGGACCAGGACAGGATAATCAAAATTAGAAGTCCTATTTACAGTGACAACAGCAGATAGACAGCACAAATGAAAGGCAAAACAAAATTAAGTATAAAATCAAATAAAAATACATCCATGGTAAACAAATTGGTGGCAGTGTTATGAAAGAAAGTGAAGTATCAGTAAGTGAAAAAAAACAATACAACCTAAAACATTTGTTTTAGATTTACATATTAAGTAAATTCATTGACATAAATCTCATCTACTACTAGCATATCTCAGTATTTATTCTGCCAGAATTACATCTGTATGAATATTTCTGACAATGAGACCAAGCCTGTGACTTGTTGTCATGGTTAAAGAAGGACTCAGATAATTTTCTTAAGTACAAGTACTATTACTACACTGTACATCTGTAAACACTGGAGACATGTGATCGGCAGGATTGATTTTGAGACCGAGTTCCAACCGGCAGCTTGGCAGGGGTTTCCTTTTTTTAATAGTCTGTGGATGTGCGTCTCAGAACTAACAAAACGAGCTATGACTTGGACTAAGACCCTAACGGATGTATTTTGTGAGTGATGTATTTTGTCCTCTCACCTGGTCCTTCTTGCTGGGGCCGATCCTCCTGTAGCCCTGGAGCCCGTGGCCCCGCAGGGCCGTCGTCGGACCGTCCTGTGTGAGTACATGCCAAAACCAGATCAAGAGAGGAAGGCTCAGGCTGAGCAGGCCGAGCCAGCGGAGCATCTGAGGGGACGAGAGGGAACGTGTTGAGGAGGTTCATCTGGAAGGAGCCTACCGGACATCCAGCTCATGTTTCCATACAAGAAGTACTCAGATCTTTCACTTAAGGCCTTAAAGTAGGCTAGTAATTATCACAATGTAGAAATACTCTGTTAATTAGTTAAATAAGTAAATGTACAAACGCATTGTACTCAAAATGTACATAAATGACAACAAAAATCGTCACTTTCATGCAAAAATATTTCAGATGATTCGATTTGCAGCTTTTTTTGATAATTATTTTTCTCTTACAAAAGTGAGACAAAACAACCATAGGGCATGTTATTCGGAGGTCATTTATTTTTCTCTTTCTGATTAACAAAATAAAAATGACAAATTATGGTATGCTACAGTATTATTAGAATGTATGCATTAGTGTGTAAGCATCACTAATACTGCAGCTGCAAGGTGGAGCTCATTATAATTACTTAATACTGTTTAGTATTAAAATAAACTAGTACAATTAAAATTGTCAGATAAATATTGTGCAGTAAAAAGTACAATATTGGCTTACAGTAGTAGAAATACTCCTATAAGGAGAACAAGTAAACACTGGCACACCTTACAATTGTACACTATCTGCAATATATTCAGTAAGTGTTCTTTGTTTTGAGTACACACATACATTAAATAACCGGCTTGTACCTGATATTTCATATTAAGGCCCAGGCTGCGAAAGCTCCGCTCCAGAGAGCCCTAGCGAACTCATTTTCGCAGCCGATTAACTCGAGGCAGAAGCGGCGAGAAAGACAAGCCTATCCGCGGAGGAGTCATGATCAAACGGATTCATATTTACAGATTTTAATGGCCGCTCCCGGTCTATTTTCCACTACAAGATCCTTTTCTTGTCGGGTTAACCTTCATCCCCTGGCAGATAAACACTTTCACTACTGTTGTTTAATCGATTGCATGTTGACTTAAAATACGTCCAGTTTTTTTACCGTTATCTCTCATTACAGGGCCTGCCTGATAAACATTTTCTCTGTGTAGAACAAGGCTTCCGGGCCGACCTTTCAAAATAAAAGTGTCATCTGAGCACATAAAACAACGAAATACTCAGGCAGGCACATATTAAATACATTTACAACAACGTAGCCTACAATTATACATTTATAATATGTATTATATATTTACAATAAAACTTCATGCTCTTATTAATAACCACAAATACCTAAATATCCTTTGCTAACAACAGTATGAATACACTCTGTAGATATTTGTACTTATAATCATGCATATGCATTTACAACATTTCTGTTTGCATACTCTCACCTTTTTATACATATTTAATAAGCATTGTCAAACATTAGTCTCAGATAAAAACACCCAGCCAGATAATCACATGCCTGCCATTCACTGGCATTGCATGTACAGTTACAGTTATGTTTCGTGTACATCTCAAAACATGTGTAACATGTAATTGTATATGATATTATATTAGGGTATGTTTTATGCTTTCATATAATTTTAAATTACATTTGATTGTATGTTTTGAAAAATACATGTGGTCAACTTTCCGACAGTTTACCTTGTGAGTTTTATGTTCATTCAGGCATGATGCTCTTTGATCTATGATTTGATTGGTCTTTTAAAAAACGTATCCCGCCTCCCTTCCATCCGATTGGCCAAGAAAAAAAGCGAACCTCTATCCTCCTCCTTCCATTGGCTTTGGAATTGCGTCAGTGTCGTTACGCACCAAAAACACCGCCCCCTAGCAATAAGCTAGTGTGCGGCTTTCACTAACTGTGACACAGGAATGCCCTTTCCTGCTGGCGCCTTTAATGCTCACGGTATGTACCTGTGTGATGGATTATGTTGTTAGTTACCGCTGGTTAGCTGTACAAAGAGCCGGCGAAGCCTCTGAGATGTCAGTTTAAAAGCACCGCTGCTCACGGTGTCCGGTTGACCGGATCATGATGCTGTGATGTGAAGTGACAGATGAGCTAGGCTAGCCCAAAATGCTAGCTAACATTAGCATTTTTGCTTGTGAGATTGAGGGCTTTTTGCCTACTTGTGAGTGCTTTTTTTAGCTTGTCAATAACATTTTTAACAAATACAATACACAGGCTTGCTGTGTATTTTATCTATTATTTGAATAACGTGGTGGCTGTAATGATTTATGTTCTCAGCTGCCTGTATGCTACCTAGTTTCATGTTTTTTCAGCTAGCAACCTCTCTGTTGCTTTTACTTTCTTAATTTCCGATTGCAAACCTCCTGTTTTCTGATTATGATAGTGACTTGTATTCATTTTCAACCTTTGATTTTTTTATTGTAATGTATAGGCTTACAAAACGTTTTTTATTGTCTATTTTACATTGTTATTTTGTCTTCTGTTTCAATTTGCTATGTGAAGCACTTGGGGGCTGCATGATTGTATGAAAGGTGCTATATCACAGAAGAAGAAGAAGTCGATTTTCTTATTGTATTAGTTGGTTTTGCACCAAATAGAGAAAGCCAGCCAGTCTTTCATGTTTAACACCTGGTGTTTGTCATGTGTAGCAGGTGTGGGGCAGGCTGGTCAACTGGCTGCATACCAGACAGCGTAGATAGCTTAGTAGCTGGCAGAGTGTCAAGTTGCTCGGCTGCTTAACAGTTAATGCAACCTTTATTTACCCAGCTTTTTGCAGGTTGATTCTGTGTCTTGAGAGTTTTGCCCTTGAGCCAGTACCAACGTTCCTGTGATGATAGACTGTCTTTTGATGAATCGTCTTAAGCTTTGTAATGTAATCTATCGCTGAAGGAGGAAGCTGCAACAACCTGATCTTTTCCATAATTCATGTCTTATTAAAGGGCAATAAATCTACAATCGAACATTGGACCAGTGTGGAGCCAAAGCTCGGGGAGTGGATGAGGACAGCCAGTTCATCAGCAGGCCCTGAGCTGGCTGATCTCAGAGCAGAGAGAACACCTCTATTAGGGTGAATTTGAAGATAGCTGTGCCCTGAAGGCATTTCCATTTCTAAGATGTCATGCAAACGAGCAGACGGGATGTCCATAGCTCAGGCATTGGCCATGACTGTAGCAGAGATACCGGTGTTTCTCTATTCCACATTTGGGCAGGTAAAACACATTGCCTCAGTTAAGCTTTGCATATGTACACACAAGCACTTTTCAAAAACCCCAGTAACAATGGCTGAATTTATTTTTGGTAGAGCCCTTTATATTAACACCTTATGTTTTCCTCCTCTGCTTTCAGTCCATATTTTCTCAGCTAAAGCTCACCCCAAGCTTGAAGAAGGTGCTGTTTGCCACGGCGCTGGGCAGTGTCGCATTGGCTCTCACCGCTCATCAGCTGAAAAGGCGGGGGAGAAAAAGGAAGCAGGTAACACAAGGGAAGGATGGCCAGAAGACAGTGGGAATACCTGAGGCGCTGATGAAGACAGGAAGACCCTCGTCATTAAAGAGAGGTGTGCTTGACTCAGTGTTTGGACGAAGAGTCATTTTAGAAGTTTAAAACAAATGCTTTGTGGTTGCTGTATCAACATCTATTGAGAATGTTTTTCTCTCCACAGGCCAATTTACTGGCCGACAGATGATGAGTCCCAGCAATCGCAGCAATGACACCATGAGTGGAATTTCTTCCCTGGCCCCAAGCAAACACTCAAGCTCCTCACACAGCCTGGCATCTGTAAGTTTAATTATTTGCAACATATTTGTACATTTTTGCTCACAGTTTTTCCCTTTTCTACATTTTTCTAATATGCCTTTTTTTCTGTCTTGTCTGCTCCTGTCATAGATGCGAGTCCCAAGCTCTCCAAATCAGTCTGCCAATCCGTCCACCCCCTGGGAAGCGGAGCCCGTGGTGGAAGAGTCGGGAGCTATGGAGGATGCAAATGCAGAGAATCTCTATATAATGGGTATCTATTTATAAAGTTGCTCTATTGTACCTCTTAGTATTAATAAAGTGCTACTGTTATTGGTGACTATGGTAAAAAAAACAAATGCTGCATTGGCACTAGGAGGGACAATATTCAAATGTGCAGTTGGTTTGGATGACTTGTAACATTTGCATCTTGAGTATAATGTTAAAGTCATTATTATGTGGTTTTAGAATAATCTGATAATATTGATAATTGAACACAGCTTTCCCCCAACCCATGAATATAATGCAGCATTACATTTCTGCTGTTGGTAATGTAGAACGAGTCAAGAAAATCGAGGGTTTAATAAGCTTATTGTTGGACTCTTGGAGCCGTAGTGCTGTGGTATTTGGATTAGCCTTCATGAAGAATTTGAATTCTTTGCTCTTTACATCGTACAAACTCAGGTCCCTTAAGCCTGCAATTAGCTGCTTTTTTGATACGAGGATTTGCCCTATTACTGAAACAACTAAGAAGTAACTCCAAACACTGCACTCTGTTTTTCTGTGCCATTTGCAGTACTTTCTATCTCAAACCTTTATTTTCAAGCTCACAAATAAACAGTTTGCTAAAGTCTTACCACTCTATTGCTTGAAGGGATGGAGCTGTTTGAGGAAGCTCTACGAAAGTGGGAGCAGGCCCTGAATATCCGCCATCAGCCCAGCTCGTCCTCCAGCAACCACAGCCTCGCTCTGCAGGGGGCCGCATGTGCTGAGCTTCCTATGGTAACCAATCTAACAATGATTACCAATACAAACTGCATGAAAGTCTTCTACATGGTTGAATTACTTTCCAGCTTGCATACAGACTAGAATTGCATTGTTTAGTTGGGATTTCACCTGCTGTTCTTTGTTACACATTTTTAATTAATTACAATTAAAGGTAATGTAACTGATCTTGGACTAAAGCCCTTTTTTTTTTTTTTTACATACAAATCCATGATCTTTACCTGTTTTATGCTTTTCCCTTTTCATTACAGGTTGAATCCCATAATAACGTGTTTGCTGAGAAGTTGGAGACCCTTCTGCACAGGGCCTACCACCTGCAGGAGGATTTTGGCAGCAGTATCCCGACAGACAGCGTGCTAGCAGATTTCGGTAAGTGTCTTGTTGGTTTCACATATAAGCTTTAACGATATTATTAATCAAGGGGAACACATTTGGATTACAGGTACAAGTTTGAAGAATAGCAGAGTTTCGATGAAAAAAATAACTTGTTATGGTTCATTATTGCCGTAGGATGATGCAGTCCTGGTGTGTATCAGTAGGAATACCGTTTCTGTTTTTTACATTGGGGCTACACTCTTCATATTCCTGTTTTGACCTGTGTTTCGATTCTTGCCCTGTCAGTCAGAGTTTGTGGTGTTCCTTTGGCAGAGAGTGAAGGAACTCTTATCTTGCCTCAAGTGGAGAGTTTCCACAGACTGCACGATGACGATGCCACAACTGTTACCTCCGACGACTCCTTCTTCTCGGCTGCAGAGGTCAGTTCCCAAATAACTGGAATACATTGTAACAGACACTTATTTGTACTTATATTTGTACCAAGTACACTTCACATCCTGTTTTTTTTCTGTCCAGCTGTTTGATGCCATGTCTCTGGAAGGCGTGTACCAGCCCCTGAGGCCTGCAGCTCTCTATGAAGAAGCCTTGTGTTTGGTGCGGGAGGGCGAAGTGCCCTATAGGTCCCTGAGGTAACTGTGAAGTTTAACAACTGCAGCTAAAAACTGCATTAGTGCTGTGTTAAATCATGTTTTTTTACTTAAAGTGGGTTAAATGTTTGTGTGTAATGTCAAAGGAGTCGCTGGTAGTGACCAACCGACCGATTATCAACCGATTCTGCACCTTTCAATAAAGAATCCACTGCACAATACCTACCCTGAATGAACAGCACAAAGAAAAAGTGATCCGTTAGCTGGTGAAGAACATAATGGAGCATTTACTGTAGCAGCTAAATACCCAGATATTTCCCTTAGACAAAACAAAAAAGGAAGCTAAAGAGTAAACATTGAACTGAGTCAGGGCCCCTACAAACATCAACTAGCCAACACAACTAAACACGGGTACATATCACTGCGTCTCATCTCAAAATGCACAAACACACACATTCCTTATTTACATTCTGTGTATACATGTCACTCTTTTATCTGTGTAATGTTATATCAGCAGTCAAAAGAAGAAGAAGAAGAAGAGGAAGGGGAATATGACTGTCCTCTGCATGTGTATTCTAGATGTTTCTCTGCTTACACGTTTGCCCTTTCAACTTCATAAAAGGATTCTGTGTCAGTGTTTCATTGAGCTTCATACATCTCTGTCTCTATGTCTTTCTTTTTTTCCCAGGACTGAATTACTTGAATGTTTTGGGGACCAAGACTTCCTTGCCAAGCTCCAATGTGTGCGACAAGCATTCCAGGTGTGTTTGAGCTCCTAAACCCTACCAATGTTATACAGATCCTTCTCTCTGTTTGGATTGTTGCAATCATTGTCATAATCCCCTCCCCTTTGTTCAGCCTTTTAAACCCACTTCTAAATGTCAGTCCTTTTCCAACATTTTGGTTCTAAATAAGCTTCAGCTAGGTTAGACTTAGCAGTGTTTGGTTCCTGTTCTAATATAGATTGCTGGACCCCCCCCCCATTCATGATCTCATACACAATGTAATGACACCCTTGTAGAAACCTTGTAGCCAGACTCTAACCTACCTGAGTTTGTAATATGCAACCTTTGTGCAGGTGTAGTCTTAGCACCCATAGGCAGGTAGAGCCAGGGGTCTCTGTTTTGTTGAATTAAGCTTTGGAAAGGTACAAAATATATACATAAAGAAAACATAAATGGACATCTTTAGAACTTTAGATTTTAAGCTTTATTCTTCAGTCTCAGGAAAAAAACCAGTTGCATGCATTGACAATTGCAGAGCCGAAGTTGAAGCAGAAATGTTTATATGTTGGATGTGTTCAATTCTGTTGTGTTTATCTCAAACTACAGCAAATGCCATGTATTACACTTCAAGTCAGAGATATGTAGAACTCGGATATCTAACGAAATGATGCTTTTCTTTTCAGTTCCTGTTGCTAGATGAAACTCACCGCACATTTTTCATGGAGACCGGGAAGCAAATGATTGCAGGGTTAATGGTGAAGGCAAACAAGGTAAAAACACTACTCATTTACATCTTCACGTATAAACGGGACAATCTTCTATTTCTGTGGACACATTTGTACATCAGTAACTATTAAAGTCTGTGTGTTGTTTGTTGCGTTAACACAGAGTCCCAAAGGCTTCTTGGAGAGCTACGAGGACATGCTGCTCTACACAAAGAGAGAGGAAACATGGCCCGTCACCACGATGGAGCTGGAGGGTCGGGGGGTGAGTACTTGCATCATTTATCTCACTGTGTATTGATTAGTTTACTCAGGGAAACAGGGATACTTTGTCACAGGGTTTATGTAAACTGGCTAACCTGAATTAAACTTTAACTGAAGATCAGCCCACAGTGAGATCACTCTGCACTTTACTCACAGTAAGGCTCATTTTAGAGTCAGGCTGGTGGTGATTGTGTAACTGGCAAACAATCCGTCCTTATTAAGTGCAACATTTATTTACGCTGACTTGCGTTAAATACTTGAGAACAATAACGTTTTCCTAAGAACTTAAAGTGTGTATGTGTGTGTATACTCAAGGCTTTATGAACGTGTCAAATGCATATTCTTTGTCATTAATCATTTGATGTACATTTTTTAAAGGAAATATTTTCCTGACCAATTCTGATTTTGAAGAGAGTGAATCTCTACTTGCAGGTGGTCTCCTATTTTGGTACATTTTCTTTTACATGGATCATACAGATAGCCATTTTTAAGAGGACATATTTGTGGGAATTATTGGGAGAAGCATAATAGGGCCTCTTTAAACAAGAGAAGTAATACGTTAAGTTCAGGTTAAAATTGTGATTAAAATCTGTAGATTTGTTTTAACTGGGTAGATCAAACAGACATACTTATTTATATAACTGTATATAACATATATAGTATGACTGATTGACTTGTAGAGTAACATTAACCCAATGTACTGGTGTGATCTCTGCAGGTGGTGTGTATGAACTTCTTTGACATCGTGCTGGACTTCATCCTGATGGATGCATTTGAAGACCTGGAGAGCCCCCCCTCCTCTGTGGTGGCTGTGTTGAGGAACCGCTGGCTCTCTGACAGCTTTAAAGAAACGGTTAATTTAAACACACACACACACACACACACACATTTACAAACACACACCAATTCCTTGCTTATGCCACCAGATAATTTCTAGTCACTCAAGTAACATAAATGTCTTTTCACATTAGGCCCTAGCAACTGCTTGCTGGTCTGTGCTAAAAGCAAAAAGGCGTCTTCTAATGGTGAGTTTGAGCACATGTAAAGATTATTTAAGGTTTTATTGCATACCTGTTTCTTTCATTTAATAGTTGAGTTTCTCTTCCTGCTCTGCATAGGTTCCTGATGGTTTTATCTCCCACTTCTATGCCATATCAGAACACGTGAGCCCAGTTTTGGCTTTTGGGTTTTTGGGACCGAGGCAACACCTAAGTGAAGTGTGCACTATTTTCAAGGTGAGAGCAAACACAACCAAGAAGAAGCTGAGGTTTTAACAAGATGTTGGAAAGCAAGTTAGTGTTGGTACTAGACACAGTTAACACATAAAGGTCAGTTTATTCATCATGAGGAGGACTATGTAAACCTGCAAAACACTTGTACAATGTCTACTGTGACTCTGAGAAAAGCAACATGTGATCATCAGGGCTCAAGCCTTCAGATGTGTAACATAAAGCCTATGTTACAAAGCACAGTTTTGTACTTCTATAAAGTCGAGATGTGTCATTATAAACTCCAAAGCTTCATAAGATATCAAACAAAAGTTTTCATAGGCTAGGTGAGAACAATGACAACTTAACTAAACTTCATTTATAAATTAGTTGGGTACTTAAAGTCGAAGAATATTTTCAAACTGTTTTTTATTTCTAATTGACTTGATGAATACCACATTTGAAATCAAGTTTAATAGTTAGCTTCAACATTTATGTTGTATTTCTCCTTCCCTCTGCAGCAACAAATCGTGCAGTACCTGAAGGACATGTTTGATCACGACAAGGTGCGCTTCACCTCCACTGAGTGTCTGGCCGAGGACCTCCTGAACCTTTCCCACCGCAGGAGTGAGATTTTACTGGGGTATTTGGGGATAAACAGCCTTGTGGAGCTCAATGGGGTCCTGCCCAGTGACATGGAGGAGTCTTCAGGGCCCAACTGTGAGAACTGAGTGCTTCACTGGGTTCATACGGGCTAATAGGTAATGGCATGGAGCTCATTCTGTAATCAACACTGGATTCAATCACTCATTCATCTGTGTTCATCCAACACACCTTAATGTGAGAGGATTGCTCTCACATTGACAGATCAATGGTACTAATGAGGGAGACCGGTTGGATAATATGATTCAGTCTCTCCCTCCTTATCAGCTGCTGTGTTTCAAGGCGTTTCGTCCTCACGTAATGTCAGACGTCTGAGGACTTGTCTCTGCCTTGTTTGGGGACATGAATATTTCCTGAAAACCCCAGAATGAAGCGCTCCCAACACATGAAGACCAGGAGCTTCTGCTAAATAAATCCATATGGGTCGAGTCTCCTCTGAGAACCAGTGGCTGCATTATGACCTTCCATTCATCAGACTTGTGGGATATCATGGTCGTCTTTTTTTGTGAAAAGAAATGGCGTGAGAGTCTGTCCACAAATGTGTGTTTGTGTGTGTTTTATATTAAAGGGGGAAGGATGTTTGCAAAAAAAGCGTGATAAATCCTGACAGGCTTGGACAGCTGACTACGTTTACATGCACAAAATATTCTGTTTTTTGCCCTTATTTTTGGAAAAAGTCAATATTCCTGGAGTGCTGTTACAAAGCTAATGAAAAGAAGTAATCCCATTTACATGCAGCTGTCAGTTTAGGATTGTTACAAAGTTTTCAATTGATGGCAGACTTGTTGGCAGACACCATTCAAAACACAGCCTCCCTCTTTCAATCCTTCAACCACCTTCTTGAAAAGATGGGCGTTTTGATTATTTGCGCATATTCAGTAAAACCTGTTGGTATATAAAGCTTTCATCATGTTTAAAAGTAGGTGAGTTTCTTTTTCCAACCAGAAATGTTGGTTTTGAACCTGAATATCGACATTTCCCATGTCTTTGTGGGGGAAAAGCTAAATTCAAATTAAGACCTAATTGCATTTACATGAACCTTATCCAATTTGCGATATTATTGTGTATGTAAACGTTGTCACTGATTGTCCTTGAATCCCTCTTTCAAAATAAGTATTTATTCCAATTTGGTTTCATCTAGCAGGCTAAGATGTCACATATCCCAGAGACTGTGCTACATGTAAAAGGACGTCATGTCAAAATGGTAACTTAAGTTGAATCATCCCAAAGTGTTATTTTGACCCCAGATCAAAGCTGTCTTCTAATGCAAAGGGGACATAGCATTGATTCAGCTGTGAAACAAAAGGTTTTGTAAAGTGTTACCCTCAGATTTTACCTGGCAACAGATGACATGAATATTTTTTCATTTTTAGTGCCACAGAGGCATTCAAATAAACGTCTAATAACACAATAGCAGTTGTGACAGGATATCTTTATTGCCAGAAAGATAATTCCTGAGTGAAATTATAACTTGAAATCAAAATTAGGACTTTGTGATGAACACGCTTGAAGATTTATATAAAATGTTATAATCTAAGTATTTTTTAATTGGTTGAACTACTTAAATTGATTTAAAACATGTGGGCTGATATGTAATTCCCTTTAAAAAGGAATATCAAGAACTAAATCAATGTTTTGATTGGAAAATGTGTAACAATAGTTATTCTTGCGTAAGGTTTTTCTTTAAGATCGCTGGATGTGAAAACGTTCAGGGGAAGCACATTATAAACCAGTTTTACTAAGACTTATTTTTCACTGCAAATATTTTTGACTTGTCATAGAAAGAAAAGCACTTGTGTAACTTAAAACAGTATTTGATGAAGTGTGCTGTTTAGCCGTGACAGACAGCATGATATCAACATGCTAAAGAAGCTAAAAGGAAACCAGCCTTTATTCATTAACATTGCAAAGAGGTTATGTTTTTGAATCCGCTTCATTGACAGCAGGATTACAACAAAAACTCTTGGTCCAATTTTTTTAAGTAACTTGGTTGGTGGTTATCCCCCTTATATTTGTATTATTTACATTAGTGCCTTTCCTTCTGTGACATGTCAAATTGTCCTCCATGATTACACCTTTAGAGACTTTGAAAAACCCCACAAATCCGCCTTTTATAATTGATTAAGAGCACTTGGGCATTCTCCATTACTATACACAATCTAAAATGGACACACTCTAAATCAAACCGTGCCATGTACTAGTGCTAGTGAGGATATTGTTGTTTGTTTTGATGAAGAAACCGGCTTTGTACTGTCCGACTGTAATCTCTAAGTGCACTGATATTAACCCTGACTGAAGGGGCCATAAGATGCCAACATGGATAATTCCACTACTGTAAAAGTAGATATGTGATATGCACACTGTAGATAGTTTGTTTAAACTGTCAAATACTAAATGATCTCAATGGAATGTGATTAAAAAGGTTATTTATTGTTATCGGCAGTAGAAGCACAGTATGTATGCTTATGGTTGCCTGCGTGAATGATAAAAGGGAAGACATTCCTGTCTGAAAATATATTAGTTTCACAGATCTTTCATTAGTTTATCATACAAATCAGTAAGTCTTTATTCAAAATCATATACATGTGTGTTTCGTGGTCTTGATAATCCAAATCCTGCTCTTGTTGCAACACGTCTTTGAAATTCAGAGCTCAGAAATGTCCCATGTGGCTTTGTGTTGAAGCATTGTGGGATTATCTCTGATATAGCATTTAGTTCCAACTGTATATAGAGCTTTTTACTGACATTATTTTAGTTCTTTGTTCTTGCAAATGTGCAGCTTTGTGTTTTGAAGCATTTTGCACTTTATCAGAAAAGCAGAAAGATGCAGGAATGTCCAACAACCCTTTTTTCTAATAATTCCTTTGAGAGTTTAACTGTACAAATTGCATTATTTATTGCATCATAGAACTGACATATTATTGAACATAAATGCTGTATATTAGAGAAAATATCTTTCCCATACAATTTTACAATGGAAATGGTTTATTGTGCTTACTTCCCAAAGTGTTAGTTTTAGTCTCCATCTTTAAAATAACCTTTTGTTATTTTTATTTTGACGGCGTGTCATCCAATCCATTCTGCCAGGCTTTAGTCCTGGTAATGTATACTATCAAATATGGAACATGCCAATGCAGTTGCAGAAAGAAAAGGCTAATATTAGTCTTGTGTTCACATTATGGTCTGCTGAAATGAATACCCTGCATGTTAACAGTGTAGATTCTTTCAAATGCATCAATCATTGTATCCCTGCAAGATTTAGAGCCAGGCTATTGTTTTACAAGCTCATTTATAACCGTCTAATTGAACGTCAAAGATTCAGGCATGGACTCTCCTACTTAGTATGTATTCATGATTATAGAGTTAAATGAGGATTTCAGATGGCCAACATGTGGAAAGAATATTTTTGTTCTCTTTCAAAATTCACTGCTGTATATTATAAGTGTCCTATTCATGCCTTTTGTCTTTTCTATTGTTAGATTACAATGCCAGCACACTGTAAATTGATTTTGATTCTCCATGTTAAATGTTATTTTGTTATTAAACAATATGTTTATGATGCCTTTTCCCAACTGATGGCAGCTCACTGTATTTTGTGTCTCACCAAAAGGAAATCTTTTTATGCAATATCCTTACATTTGCCTCAAAGCATGTTTATCCAGGGGATATAATTAAATATACAACCTATCTTAATTATCATGACTTTACCAAAACTTTTTAAAACATATATTAGTCCTCAATATAACTACAGTATATCACAGGCATTCTTTATCTCCTGAAAAACACATTTAATCTCTAGGAATATATGCATACATCAGACTTCAGCATTGGTCTGATTTGAAACATGCATGACATCTCAATATGTTAAATCCTTTCTGGCTGACAATCTATTCCATAACGCTGCACTTTCTCTTTAAGGTTGCTTAACATTTAGAGGTACTCCAATAAGGAAATTATGGAGTTTGCAGTCTTTCAGGTTTCACAGTTGACTTATTGTGTGTCCTGTTTTGTCAGTTTGTGTGCACTTAATGTTCTTGGCTGATTTAATGTGATTTGAAAAAAGCTTGGGTCAGTATCAGTCTCTGCTATTTATTTTTTCTACTGGCTATTTGCTATTTGTAACTCATGTAGATGACAAGGGCTTTTTTAAGACATTTCCATCATACATTGATGCACAACAGACCACATTGGAGCATACAAATTCAAAATAATTCAGTAAATGAAGAGTTAGACAATGTCCTGTCACCCCAGAGTTGAAATGAGAACTATCCCCTTGATCATGGCTTTATTTAACATACTAATTGTATATCTCTTTTAACAAAAGTAGTCATCCTACATGCATATATTTATTTGCAAAAATCCCCTTTAATGAATGTGGGCTAACAGCCCTGATTATGCTGTGCAATGCCCTGCTTTGACATGGTGCTGCAACGAAAACATTTTCCAATTTGGGATCAATAAAGTACATATTATCTTATTATTGTCTGTTTGTGGTGTTTGTGATATGCTGCCCTCTTGAGAAAGATTGTAATCTCAATTAACCTGCTTAAATAAAGAAAAAAATATAGGCTTACAAGTAGGCACATTTGCTATATATTCAATGTATTATTATTTATTTGTACTAACTGTTTGTAATTTAATTAGCTATTTTTGGGTCACTTAATATAATTATCTGTCGATCAAACTGTATTATGATTACTATGTGACTCCAAATAAAGAATACAAATAGAAACATAGCCTATAGACCTATATATTAAATTAGTAACTTGATAAATATTTGTTTTTTCTGAATGAGTACAGTTCTCTTACATGAAGTGCTGGACTATTGTGTTTTTTTAGCTTCATTCAATAATTCTTCTCTATGGGTAAAATATCTCCTCTCCGGTGATCTGCGGGGATTGGACGGCGGCTCCTCTGCCGGGGACTCAGAGCTCCGCTCCCGGATTGGTGCGACACGTGTCTGGGGCGTTTTTTCACTTTGCCCGGTTGTGTCCGGGTAAGATGGCGTTGGAAGAGCAGTGCTCGGCACCACTTCAATGGCGGTCCGTATCTCTGACACACGTAGAGTTCCCGGAAGGTACGTAAACTAAACATGTTTCTTTAACTAATGAGGATGTTAACCACTGTGCGAATTTTTATAATTTTCGTGTGTTTTCGCGCTGCTGAATGAACACGGCCGTTGGTGATACTGCCAAATAGTGAGACAGTGTAGAACGTCGAGCACAGCGGGGAATATAGCCCCGGACTGCTGAATTGTGAGACAGCGACGCATGCGCAGTCGGAGTTAATGTCCACAATGAAGGCTAGCTAGCCTGTTAGCTGCCGTAATATCGGTCTTCATATATTTGCTCACCATTAAGCGAATATTCCGCGTACTGCAGGAATTATTTCGCACAATTCAAGCATACTGAACACTAAAATATAATGACTCACTGTAGTGGGAATAACTAGCTATTTCTCCTTAAAGAATTGTAGCCGGTAGTGCGGCTAATGGAGCTAGCTCTTTGGCCTCATACAGATAGTAAATTAGCTAGCTTTAACCACGTTGCACAGAGATGTCTGAAATAACAACGTAAAATAATGTGGTGTGTTAGTTATCTAAATGGTGGTTTTGCTTTTCAGCCACAGCAGCTTCCTACTGCTAAATATTTCAACCATCCGGGTTCACTGAGTCCCTTAAAGTGTCTCTCCCACTAGTGTTATGCGACTTTACTGGGGTTTATAAGCTTTAACATCTTTAGACAACACTGAATCCGTCTGCAAAAGTGAAAAGTAGATATTTGACTCTCGCCAGGTTTTTGGGGCGAGTAGACACATTTGCAGAGGTGGGAGAAGTACTCAGATCTTGTACTTAAGTAAAGGCAGAAGTTCCTGAGTGTTACAAGTAAAATAACTGCAATCAAAATGTTACTCAAGTAAAAGTACAACAGTAAAAATATACTTAAAGTACCAAAAGTTAAAATACCCGCTATGCAAATTGTCCCTAAAGTTTGATTTAAGTGTTGAATATAATTCAAATCATGAATCAACATTTGAAAAGTTACTAAAGGTATTGAATAAATATAGTAAAGTAAAATTACAATATTTACCTCTGAATTGTAGTGGAGTAGAAGTACAAAGTAGCATAACATTTAAATACTCAAGAAAAGTACAAGTCTCTTAAAATTGTACTTAAGCACAATACTTGAGTAAATGCACTTAGTTACTTTACACCACTGCACATTTGCCTCTGAGTGTTTACAGTATTATAGTACAAGGGTACACGTTTCTGTCAGAGACTTTAAGGCGGGCCTACTACATTGGCGACACTGAGCACTTGTTTGTGTCAATCCTAAAAGTAAATATGGACCATAATCCCAGATCAAATGCACGATGAGAGGTCCTGAATATGTTGTCTTCAGTGATTGTAATGTCATTTTAAATGTCTATGTTTGTTACAATTGTTATAATTTTATATTTTTTGGTGTTGCAAATGGAGCTGTTGTGATGCAGGTAAAATGTCAGACTATTTCTAAAAAAGTGGTATCTATATAATGTCTGTTTGTCTTAGGTGATCTGACGGGACACATGCTGGCCTACATCAGTCTCTTACCCATAGCAGTCCTTGTGGGTTTTGTCACACTCATAGTGTTCAAACGGGAGCTGCACACGGTGAGTTCTGCACATGCACTTTTAGCATCACTTTAAAAATAGTTTTGTCACACTGTTAATTGTCTCAAAGGACCCTGAAGTATGGCGTCAGGCAGGCCAGAAATGTGTAAGCACTCAAGTGGTGAACTTATTTTTACAGATTTCCTTCTTCGGTGGGCTCATCCTGAATGAAGGGGTGAACTGGGTGCTGAAGCACATTTTCAGAGAGCCGCGCCCATGTGCAGGTGAAGTGAAGGAACAAGCTGTTGACTTTGTGTGGTGATCAGCGCTGGGCATCACTGCAAAATCATAAATCAATTGTGAAATTAGTTCCATGGCAAAGAAAACAATCTCTCTGGCATTCAAAACAATTCAAATCCAGTCTATGCAAATATTCTTCAAATGGATTAAATTGTGTCCAACCAGCAACCTTATATATTTGTATAAAGTTAAAGAGTAAGAGACGCACACTTAAGCTTCAACTTGGGTGTTTTGTTTATATGTAATTGTGGTCCATATTGAAAATGTGTCTTGTTTTTTTTCCCTGCAGGAGCTCACACAACCCTGCACACAGAGTATGGGATGCCCTCCAGTCATTCCCAGCTAATGTGGTTCTTTGTCGTTTACTTCTTTCTTTTCCTTTATTTAAGGTGAGTTTTGTCTTTGTATTTGGAGAGCTTTAAAGGGTCGAAACATGAAGCTGCGAAAAGTGTAGCAACTTGCTAATATAATGTTCATGTCCCAAATCTCATATATATTTTTAATTTCTACAATTAAAAAATTCCATTAAGGTTAATAGCTAAAAAAAAAAAAAAAAAAAGATCTAGAAAATAATAACTTTATGTTAGCAACTCTGTTAAAAAATGGTGTCATGAATGCATGCATTATAAGTGTTTGATGAAATCATATTGGTGTGAATAAAGTGTGTTATTTACATGTTTATTCCAGCAGGGCATGTATTTCATTATCTCGTTTTTGATTATCACTCATTAGGTGCGTTCCATGTGGTTCGGTGAGAACTCATGCTGATTTCTTTTTTTCCAGAATGCATCAAACGAACAATGCTCGCTGTGTGGACCTGCTGTGGAGACACATTCTGTCCATCATCCTGTTGGGCACGGCCTTATCAGTCTCGTACAGCAGGTAGGGCTGCAAGTCATTTTTAATATCAACTGAACTGACAATTATTTTCTTGTCTATAAAAAAAATACCGAAAAATATTCCTGATATTTTGTTTTACCAAATGTCCAAAAACCCAAATATTTTCTATTTGCCACCAAAAAAAACCTATTAAATATCAGTTAATTATTGATGGGTTATCCAAATTCATGTAAAGGTCTACTGTGAATTCAGTAAATGTTTTTTTTAAGCTTTAAAAATCTATGAAGCTCATGAAATTATGGCATTGGTGGACAAGAACATTTATATTATGGTTTCTGTGTTATACTTTGACTTAAAAGCAAAATTGTGCTATTTCCTGTCTAAATATTTCTATAACTAAGTGTGAAACTATTTAAAGTGCATGCTGCTAGACTTAGTTTAACAATCAAGACACCATTTGTATTTTCCTGAACATTATTTTTCTCCTCCTCAGGGTCTACCTGTTGTATCACTCCTGGAGCCAGGTTTTCTATGGCGGAGTGGCTGGTTGTACAATTGGCATAATGTGGTTCTTTTTCACACAAGAGGTGCTGACACCATTGTTCCCCAAAATAGCAGCCTGGTGAGTAGTGCTCTCATTTCTCTCTGCCTCCTTCTTCTGTCACAGGGGAAGACGATTCGTCTGCAGCCTGAATAACTAGATAAAACCGGTCTGATCATTTGTTCTCTCCCAATTTGTAGGCCAATATCAGAGTACTTCCTGGTGCGAGACACAAGTCTGATCCCCAACATCTTATGGTTTGAGTATACAGTGACCAGATCCGAGGCAAGGTAAGATCATTAAGAACACTACACCACATCAGCACCATTTAGGCCTGATCACAATTAAAAGTAGCACACCAGCCTTCACCCGTGTACACATTTTGAAGTCCCCTAAATCTTCCAAATCGACACAAAGAAATCAGCCCACAGACGATACAAATATTGGCGCTTTCTGTTTAAAACTGCCATTTTTGATCATGAAAATGTCAGAAATGAACTCTGCATCCTCAATTACCCCCCCAAACCATTCCCAAATTGGCCAAGCCATTTTTCAACTATTGTCCCCATCGGCTTTAATGCTAATTGTGCAAATTGCCCAACATAGGCAAATTACCATCCGGCAGTTTCTATTTGCTGGGGACCCGTACTGTACATTTCTATCATAAAACCTTTCCGGGTTCACAATAAAACTCTGAACAGGCAACTAGACTATTTAGATGCAGGGTTACATTTTACCACTAGTTAGTCACAATCACTTCCAGAGCTTCTTTATTTTGTCTCTAAACTGTGCCTTTATCTCCCCTGATATTGTGTTCCCAAAATGGTACATCATTTATTGATTGGAAACCGGTGTAATGGTTACAGAAGAGGGGGGAACACTTTCCAAGCTAGCTAGTCTGTTTTCGGTCACTTAGCAAGGTTGTTAGCTCATTTGCTAACAAGATGCTCCCAGTTTATTTAAAAGAAGTATTTGTACCACCTATTAACTGTCTGTAATTTGTTTGTCATTAATACAGCAGTTTATTCATACGCAGAGGAGGTTAAATAAGAAGTCAATAAGCTGCATTAGCTTTCCTCAGTTTAGACCCGTCAAGTTCACCAGATGCACTTTTTTGCAAAACATTGTGTGGGTATAGCTTGTCCCCGTTAGCAAATGCACTGTATGCTGCGATTCCATTGATATAAATCCAATGACTGTCTTTT